GAAATTTTTTTCACCATTTTATTTCAGTCCGTTATTCATTTTTAATTCTCAATTAACTCATTTTATTTTTCTATACTTTTGATTACTTAACAGTTTTATCTAAGAGTAGCCTGTAAGGATGGGTCTTGAAGCTGATCATCCTTCAATTCCTGGCTCTAGATGCTGTGTCTCCTGCATGCTGAGGTGCTGCTAATCTCAGGGGCAGAAAGCAGAACCAATTCAGGTCTGGAGGAGAAGCCACCTAGCCTCCTTGTAAGGCTTTGAAAGCAACCATGTATTGTAGTAACAATGGAAAGAACGCTTAACAATCTTCTATATTTTTAATTTATTTTTATTTATTTATTTGAAAGTCATAGTTACACAGAGAGAGAAAGAGAGACAGAAAGAAGGAGAGGGGGTGGGGGGGGAGGTCTTCCATCCGCTGGTTCATTCCCCATTCGGCCGCAACAGCCAGAGCTGTGCCTATCCGAAGCCAGGAACCAGGAGTTTCCTCTGGGTCTTCCCATGTGGGTGCAGGGGCCCAAGGACTTGGGCCATCTTCTACTGCTTTCCCAAGCCACAGCAGAGATCTGGATCGCAAGTGGAGCATCCAGGTCTCGAACTGGCACCCATATGGGATGCTGGCACTGCAGGTGGCTGCCCCAACAATCTTCCTAATTTTTTTTGCCTTATGTCTGTTTGTAGCCTGTTCACTTCATGGGCCTCATGAGACAGAATGTAAAAACAGAGATATATGTAAAATCTACATTTTAAAAGATTCAGTTATATATCATAATACATGAAATTTAATAGTTCAATGCATACAACCTAATCTCTAAATTAAGGATATTAAAGACTGCTTATTACCATCCTGGACTGTCAATAAGAGAATAGCAGTTAGAAATTACAGCCACGCTAGCAAATTCTTGGTCTATGAAGTCCTAACAATATATGACATGAGCATTTGTGTAACGAAGAAGCTTTTTCTCCATCTCCTAGATGTTTTCTTCTCAGCTTTTATGGCCCTAGAACACATATGACTATGTTAGTACTTCCTTAGAAGTTTTTGGAAAATAGTCTCCAATAATCATTGTATTTGGAGGTCCAGAAGACTCACACACTCCTTGCCCCCCACACACCCCAAATGCACAGAGAAGTGATCTGGATCAAAGGCTTCCTTCCTACTGGGGTACTGTAGGGCCATCAGATGTGAGGCCTAAACTACGTCTAAATAGCAAGGTCAAATCATAGCATCATGGCTCAAAAACACTGTGAAGAGAAGTGGGCTAACACTGATCATGTGTTTTCTGTCTGTCATTTACTCTCTTGTACAACTTCTACACATTATTTAATCAGATAATTTAGTCACAGGGAAACAGCTGTAATTTAAAAATTAAAAATAATCATACTGCAGTTCCTCTTGCTCTTGACTACTATAGATTTGTCACTGAAACAAAAATTCCATAGCTATATGCCAAGATGACCACAATATTCCACATTTTTAGTCTAGTTTAACAGGCATCTCTTTCCATGTGCATGTCTCTCCCCATCACTCAACTTCCAATGGAATGCTTTTTAAAAAAATATTTTATTTGAAAGGTAGAAATATATGGAGAGAGAGAGAGAGAGAATGAGAATGTGGTCTTCTACCCACTAGTTCACTCTCCAAATGGCCACAATGACAGGGGTTGGGCCAGATCACAGCCAGGTGCCAGGAGCTTCTTCAGGTTTCTCCCATGTGAGTGCAGAGACCCAAGTACTTGGGCCATCCTCCATTGCTTTCCCAAGCACATTAGCAGGGAGCTAGATCAGAAAGAGCGCAGCCAGGACTTGAACCAGCACCCACACAGGATGCTAACTGTTATGTATTAATGTTAGCCGTCACAAAACACACTGAACACCGGATAAGGGAAAGGGTTTATTGGGGAACACCCAACAGACCAGAGTGAAGGGGCAGTGAAGGGAAAGAGAATAAGAGAGAAACAGGAGAGGAGCTAGCAAGGAGAGAAGAGAGAGAAATGAGAGGAGCCAAGAGAGAAGGCAGAGCAGAGCAGAGAGCAGGAGAGGAGAGCCAAGAGAGAAGAACCAAGAGGGCAGGAGAGGAGAGTCAAGAGAGCACGTGTTCAGGAACAGGCCCTTTTAAAACTTTGCCAGAGGGCGGGCAGGGAAGCAGGAGCAGCGAATCCCATTAGGATGGGGGTGGAGCTTGACCACAGAGGTTGGGCCATGTGGCCACCTGGCTAAAACTGCACCAGTTTCCTAACACTAACACTGCAAGTGGCAGCTTAACTTGCTATGCCACAGTCCTGGCCCCAGTGTAATATTTCTGTAGTCTTTCTTTTTAAATGCCATTGTCCATGGAAAGCCAAGGCACTGTGGCAAAAAAAAAAAAAAAAACACTAAATGAAAGATCTCTGTGAGTGAGATCCCAGTGGAAAGAACAGGTCATCAAAGAAGGAGGTACCTTTCTCTGACGGGAGGAGAGAACTTCCACTCTATGACCTTGTCTATATATGATCAGAGTCGGTGAACTCAAAAGGCCTCCATAGCCTTGGCAACTCATGACAAGAGCCTAGGGTGATTACTGATGCCATAAACAGAGTGTCAATTTGTTAAGTCAACAACAGGGAGTCACTGTGCATTTACTCCTCACATAAGATCTCTGTCCTTAATGTGCTGTACATCGTGATTTAATGCTATAACTAGTACTCAAACAGTATTTTTAACTTTGTGTTTCTGTGTGGGTGCAAACTGTTGAAAGCTTTACTTAATATATGCTAAATTGATCTTCTATATATAAAGATGATTGAAAATGAATCTTGATGTGAATGGAATGGGAGAGCGAACGGGAGAGGGGAGGATTGTGGGTGGGAGGGAAAAAGCCATTGTAATCCATAAGCTGTACTTTGGAAATTTATATTAAATAAAAGTTAAAAAAAATAAATGCCATTGTCTTCTCTGATATTATTTAGATCATCGCTACCTGTCTCATCCATTTTCCTCATTAGAAATGTATTGTTTTAGAGGATTAAAAATGTATGAGAACAGTCTTTTGTTACAAACTTTGCAATCTCCTTGTCTGTTGCAAATTTACCAAATTCTTGCCTGGGTAAGATAAATAAATCTTTAAAAAGAAATTTATTTATTTGAAAATCAGTTACACAGAGAGAGGAGAGAGAGTGTGTCTTCCATCTGCTGGTTCACTCCCAAATTGGCCACAATGGCTGTAGCTGAGCCAATCTGAACCCAGGAGCCAGGTCTCCCACATGGGTGCAGGGGCCCAAGGACTTGGGCCATCTTTTACTGCTATCCCAGGCCATAGCAGAGAGCTGGAGCAGAAGAGGAGTAGCGGGACTAGCACTGGCACCCATATGGGATGCTGGCACTACAGGTGGCAGCTTTAACCATATGCCACAGCGCCGGACCCTAAGATAAACTTTGTGTGACTGTAGAGACTTGAGAGAAGCCATCATCTGTGCGGCCACCACCTGTTACTGTCATCCTGACAGGACCTCCCTGAGCTTCCATCTTTCTCAGCCTGCCTTGCTCACCTCGTTTTCTGTGGCTCCTGGTATTTTCTCTTGATTTGATCACCTGAATGCCTTCTGATCTTCCCATCTCTTCCCCAGACATCCCCTTGAATCCATTCACACCCAGTACATTCACTTGTATTCCTCTCTAGTATTCTTTCCATTTAATAAACCTCTCTATCATAAGCAAGCCAACTCTCCTCTTTTTATTTCTTCTCGATTTCGTTCCTTTGTGTGAAATCCACCAGGGTCCCTTCAGAGTCATTTTCTCCTGAGCTTGCCCTTGTCTTCTTATTTTTTTAATATCATCTAATTCCTAGATACTCATCATCTTTATATGTTAGAATATTGACCTTTATAACCATTTGTACACTTTTTCCCTTTCATATTAATCTTGCTGTCCCACCAGCTCTCTGCTCCACATTCTATTTCCCATGGCATCTATTCCAACCCACTTCTTTTGTTCTCTCCATGTCCTGTTCCTTCTTACCCGCGACCCTCATGTCTGTAATCTGCTTTTACTCCTGTGTTAACTCTTTTTTGGGAATAGATTTTATTAAATGGCTCTTATCCTCTTCTATCTCCAAATCAGTGTGTTACTTCAGACAGTCCTGCTCTCTCACTCTTTCAGGTCCTTTTCATATCCATCTCCCTGGCACCTGCCTCTGCTCCCTCAACCCTTCACCCTCCTCCCACTTCCTTTTTTAGGTAGTTGGTTGTTTACTCTCCTCACTCCCTCTTTGGCTCTTAACACAATGAAGAGGGATCCCAAACATGAAACCAAAGTGGTCTATTTGATTATTTTTATCTCCTTCCCTATTTTTAATATTCTTCTAAGTTGGCTCACCCAGAAAGGACAGAACAAAGCTATTCCGGTTCAATGTGGGTACAAAGCTAATCTGCGTGATGGGGCAGGGGGGAGGTGTGCATGGGCATGTCCTCCATTCCTTCCTGAGCATTTTCAGATGTCAAGAGGGTACTCTCAGTCTTCGGTCAAACTGTCTCTCTCTCTCCGCAACCTCAAAGAGCAGCCATAAGTAAATGGAGACGGTAGAATTTCAGTCCTGAGTGAGAGTCAGGCAAGAAAAGATTATATCTTCCCCAGCACTAACCGTGTGTCTCTGGGAACTTCTGAAGGTTGGGGTGGGGGGAGCTAGAAAGGAGCATGCGTCCTTTTACTCCCAGTAAAAGATCTCTGGGCTAAGAACTGAGAGTCAACTATATCCTCAGGCTTCTCAGGTGATGCGGTCTCAATGTGGCCCAGATTCCAGAGGTCCAGACTCAGAGCCCTGGGTTGGGAAAAACATCATTAATAGAAGTAAAGGAAAAGCCCAATAGCTCAATTCTTCCTTTAGTGGGAGCGGTGGGCCCAAGTTGCTTATGATCATAGACCTCAGCTGATTAACCGCATGCAACAATTAGCTGAGTGGAAGGAAATGGAGCCCTTCCCTAGTGCGAGAGAGGAATGCAATCACTGAGAAAAAGTCGAGGACAGACCAGTTTACTGCTTACAGTGGACACTCTGGCTCACTGACTAGTAAGGAAAGGAAAAACAAACTGATACAATGTTCAGAAGTAACACAGGACCGTCACAGACGGGTGTGAAGCAAAGGGTAGGGTCAGCCCTCTTCCAATCAACGTCCAGCCAGACAAGCCTACACGGGTAGACACTAACTTCCACCCAGTCAACAGAGTCCACAGTTCTTCTCAAAGCTTCAACCACCATCCTGAGTAGATGCCCCACAGAGTGGATGCCCCACGGAGCAGCCTCTCTTCCACTCTGATCCCCAACTAGGGGACACAGAACTTCTTGTCTTCTCCCACCTCCTCTGGTACCAAGGGCTGCTCCAGGGCCATGGCAGGCGGCTCCTCTTGCATCTTGCCCAGCGAGGGTCCAGCTCCTGGCCTGGCTCCTGCAGGCAGCTGGGCAAGACCTGGTGAAGGCTGTCTGGTTGTAGCCTGAGCACAGGGGGCTGGAAAGAGATCAGGGAAGTAGCCATCTCCTCCCAGGGGATATCCCAGAGCTTGTGTGCAGAACGGACCAGGGAAGGGCAGATCAGGCAAGCAGAGGTCACTCCAGGGGACCGTACCTATGTGATGAAAGAATGTAGAAATTATTAGGCAAGACAGAATATCAACCAGCATTCAACATGTTCTGTAGCCAAGTACCATGCCCCCCTCCACAGACACAGCTTAGGACTCCAGTGAGTCTTGGTGAAGCCACCACCAGAGTCTCCCTCTCCGATCTGACATGCTCCTGGGTTGAAGGTGCTGCAGTTGGGTAACGCTGACACCAAGGGTACCGCGGGTCGGGCTAAGCATGTCTCATGCAGGCAGCAAGGAGACTGAACCTGCTGCACAGGTCTTGTCTTCCGCAATTCAGCAAGGACAAGATGGACGCTTCTGGGACTTCGAACGTTCAAGGGGCCCAGCAGAATACTCATGTCAGCTGACATCTACGGTGCCCAGTGTTTTCACTCATTTTGTTTCCACTGCTCACCAAGCCCTTCCATGATGTGAAACTTTATTCCTTTCTTAGGGCCCAGGTAACTGAGGCTTAGGAGCACAAATAACCAAACCTCAGCTTTCCTAATGCCAAACACCAAAGCCATCTTGATGATTCTCACTTTGTTTTACAGCCTCCAAGAAACTTACAGATGGAAGAGGTTAAAATAAAGAGAACTAGGGGTGAGCAAAAGGAGTTCACTCACTACCGGTGCCTGGCCTCAGTCTGTCTCCAAAGCTCTCTGTCCATTCTCACTTTCTTCAATCGCAAAGGGGACCCTCTGTTCCAGGTCCTACTTACCCATATTTCCAGTAGGTGGCTGCAGCGTCATCTGCCCCGATGGGGGCACTGGGCAATAGCCCTGTGATGTGCCCCCACCACTGGGGCCACAAGGAAATGCGAAGAGAGGGTCCTCTGGTGGTGGAAGTGTCAGTGAACTGGGCATGGGGAGGGGAAAAGGGGGAAGGTATGAAAACTGGGGCTGAGGGGGTTGAAACAGCTGGGGCTGTGGGGCCTGAGAGAACTGGAATGGTCCTGGCTGGTTGTTCTGTTGGTAATCCTGAGGTTCCAACTCTTCCAAATATGAGCAGGTGGGCGGTGGGGTGATGCTGTAGGGGAAAGAGGAGTACTGAGTGCAGTACGGGTGGCCTCCTCGTTCCTACCACAGAGTGGTGAGTCACTTCCTCACCTATTGCCTTACCTGCACGGTGACCCTGGTCTTGCCACACCATTGCTGCCCTCTCCCCCTCCTACCCCTAGCTCCTCACCCCTTGTTTCTGCTCTATTGCTGTCCACCTACCCTTTTAATCCCCATAATATACATCACTCCCTGCTCCTCTCACTGAGCCCCTTCCCCTCCACAGTCTATCTTTTCTCCTTCCACACACCTTCCAAGAAAACTCAAATGACATCTCCACCTATGTTACATACCTTGTCCCCCAAGGTCCACGGGGCCCATCCTTGCGGCTGCTGTCACTGCCAGGGGCATCCATCAGCAAAGGCATCAGTTGGGGGGTTTGGGAGTGGCCAAGGGGAAAAGGAAGGTTGGCTCTTTGAAGAGGAGGCGGACTGAAGAGTGGTGGGGTCACCACCACTCTCTGAGCACCCTCATTCTGTTGGGTGGGAGCCAGGGACTGGTCAGAAGTCAGCAGCATGGGTGGTTCTAGAAACACAAGGCAAAGAGGGGCTCTAAGCATAGGAAAATGGGGAGGTAGACCTGGATTTGCTGAATGGCAGACACTTACAAAGCCCGCCACCTCTGGCCTCAAACCTTGGAAAAGTCTGGCCCACCCACACTCTGTCTAGCCAGATACTGGTGTCTTCATCACCTTTTTAACTGCCATTTTCCCACAGCTAACCCTCTCAGGGTGGGAGTTCACCTGGAAACAAATCCAGACGGGGCTCCTGCAGGAAAGTCCCTGGCTCTGGGTCCACAGGCACGGTAGCTGGGGGTTCAGCTATGGATCTGGAGGCAGAGAGAAGGAGGAGTGGGGCTTAGGTGGTCTTTGGATTTAGACTGGATCCTCACTGCAGGGAAGGGGACACTAGCTTCGCAAGTCCTGCCTCCTTCAAGGCACTGTGTACTCCCCTAACTCATCCTAACTCCTGTAATGGTTCCAACTTCCAACACTCTCTCCTTCTGGAATGCAGGATCTCAGCTCTGACCCCTCTTCCTACCTGCCGGAGTGATCCCAGAAGAGGTGAAGAATTACCTGCACTCACTGCTAGCAGGGGCTGCAGGCTTGTCTTTGCATTCTTTGCCATTCAGTTTCTCCACTTTTCGCCACTTTGCCCGGCGATTCTGGAACCACACCTATAGGGGAAAGAAGAACTTAAGAACGGGTGTAGAGATGAAGGCTGAGGTACTGACTGTCACATAACGAGCTACATGAGTTTAGGAGGTCACTCCACCACTTTGCTTCACATGCCTCACTGTCAGGTCGTGTTGACCAACAGGTCTCTACTGTGCCTTCCTCTTTGATCAGTCTAAGACTATAGGGCTGTGGAAGCAGGCAGGAACCCAGCCACATCCAAGACTTGACTTTAGGCCCTATGCAGGTTGAGGCTGAGCACTTCCTCTGCTCCCCTCGAATTCTAACCAGTAGGTTTCCCTGCACCCCGCCAGGCAGCCAGCCGACCCCCTTTACCATGATGCGTTGCGGGGTGACCCCCACAGTCCGGGCAATCTCCTGCCGCTTATCGCTGTCAGGATAGTGGTCCTCTTGGAATATCTTCTCCAGCTCCTCCAGCTGCTCTGGAGAAGAAGGGAGCCGTGGGAGGAGGCAGCACACCAGAGAGGAGAAAGAGATGCCCACCCGAAGTCTCAAGCAGATGGGACCACTGTTCCCTACCCAAGAGCCTAACCCAGAGCCTTGCAACTAAGTTCCCCATCATACAGGGCCTTCTCTCCGGTGTTTCCTTTCTGGATGCATCTGTCCTGGACTTAACCTTACTTACTGCTGGGACAACCTGGCCTTCCCCTCTCAGGGCCTGAGGTGGTAGTGGCACCACCATGGGCCAGAAGAGCATCCAGGACAAAGGGACATACCAACTAAGCACACCTGCCAGTCTCCTGGGGCTAGTTGAACAGTCCCACTTTTCCAGGGCGACTCCAGGTCTCTCGGGTTTTCTCGCACCTTTAGGGACTTACCTGAGCGGTACAGGGTTCGAGTCTTCTTCCGAATTTGGCAGGTCACTTCCGGGGGCCCCTTCTTCTGGTCTGCATTTTGGTTATTCTGAGCCAATGTGCTGAGGAGATTGGCCAGGTGGCAGGGCCCCCGGCCTGACCCACAGGGCACGGGGTTGTGTGTGGCACTGGCCGAGTTAGGGACAGCAGGAGCTGACGTTGAAGCCAGGCCCAGGGAACTGGATTTCTTCTGCTTGCTGGGGGCTGGCGCGAAGGCCCTCTTCCCTGCCTTGCCCTCTCTGGCTGGGAGGGAGCAACCTTCCTCTCGAGGCTGGGGTCTCATCGAGGCCACGGTTTTGTCTCTGTGGAGAACCTTGGAGCTCGGGAGCTGACTCCCTCTCCCAGCGTCAGCCCCAGCGCGTCCTGCAGAGGCCTCTGACCTCTTCTTCTCCCCGGGGATGGGGCCAGAGCGCGGCAACTCCTCACTCGGTGCATTCTGAGCGTGGGGGGCTGATCCCGGCCGCAGTTCCTCCGCCTCCAGGCCAGCAGCCGAGGGCTTGCCTCCACCTTCCTGGCCTGTGGAGAGTCAGCACCCACTGACCTCAGCACAGGGACATCGAAGAGCCGGGGCTGACAAGAGGAGCTGCTTCCTGCTCTGCAGCTCAGTGGCTGGATCCTAAACTGTCGTTCGCTTACCTCTCCAGGAGGGCAGCAACTCCAGACTTACCTTCTTGCTCAACTGTTGTGAGGGCCCAATGTAATGGGACTGCCTTGAAAAATGTAAGCAAACACATGCAACCCTAGGCAGCCTCAGTTCACATGATAGTCCCTCGCTGGAAGCTCCCAGGATTTCCACCCCCACCCCCAGGGGCAGGCATCTGTTAGGGTGGTTCTGAGGGACTTGTGGTGGGGATGAGGGTGGACTGGTTGAGATGCTACATCTGCCAAGGCCATATCCTGTGGACCCAGGCACTGTTGCTTGGAGAAGGAACGCAGCAGGGTTCCAGCCATCTCAGAAAATGCAGGCAAGGACATTACAGGCGGCACCAGCATCGCCTCCCACACAACTCACTCTGTCCCTGCCAACCCTGCTGGCTTCCCCCAAGGAAAATCTACATCCTTCTCCTCCTTCCCCTACTCCCTGCAAAGCAGAACCCCACTCAGGGCCCCTAGATCCAGGCTTCGTTTACAGGTAAGGAGAGAGTGGCCCATCTGCAACTGAAACACAAGTCAGGAATCCTTAAAGCTGATGGCGCCATGCAGCACCTACCACGCCCCAGGCATGGTGCTAAACACCTTTGTGCCACTTTGAGCCCTATGAAGAAGACACCTCCAACACAGGAAAACATGAGGACTAGAACTGGGAGACCGGCCCAAGATCACCCACCAGGTCAGCACCCAGGCTGCCCTGTCACTCACCACAGCACCCCCCCACTTACGCCCCCCCACCCACAGAACCCTCAGCCCCAGGAAGCAGCTTTGTTATTTTCAACTAAATGGGAATATTTGTAAATGAATGCCAGCCAGCCACCAAGAGCTATTGTCATTTTAACAGATGGGCCCCAGGTATAAAGGCAAGACTTTTCATCAACAGGTCGAGGCAGAAGGGAGGAAAGCCCAGGTTCAGGTGCTGCATCAGCTAGTTTTCCTGGGGCCCAGACACCCAGAGTGGAGGAGGCGAGCAGGCCTCCTCCCGGGGTGCAGGGCAAGTTGGTGGTGGTCGGGGAAGCAGAGATAAATCAGCTTTAGAGCGTTTCAGAACAGCGTGGAGAGTAGCAATGAAGCTGGTACGGGGCAGGCCCTCCGCAAACACAAGGCAATGCTATGCCGTTAAGAATGGTGAAGGGGGTCCTTGCGCCCCCCAGCCAGCACTTCTGCCCTGGCGCCTTAGGAGAGCACAGCCCGGCGCCTCCCGACCCCGCTAGCCCCTTGGCCTACCCAAGCTCTCAGGCCCTCTAACGCGGCCAGCCCCGCAAGCCCGAGCCCCTCGCGCGCTCACCCCGTGGGTTCTGGCCGAGATCCTCCGTGGGTTCCATGGCTGGAACTCGCCGCCGCCGCGGCCAGCCTGGGCTGCACAGGCGCCGCCTAATGAGGCCTCGCCGGCGGGCAGGTGTGCCCAGGCCGCACGGGCCCCGGGGAACCGCAGCCCGAGCCTGGCCCCCTAGCCCCCACCTCCAAGGGCGAGGCCCACCCGGGAAGCCAGGGCGTGGGGCAGCTGCAGGGGCCTCTGCAGGCAGCTTCCCTCCCCCTGCTGGGCCGGACCGCCCGAGGCAGGGCCAGGTGTGGGTCTCCTCGAGGCGGCCCCTCCCCTCGGCGGGGCTGGCGCACAAAGCCCAGGCGCCTGGGGAAGGACCCAGTCGGCTGGGGAGTCCTTTGGTTTTGGGCTCACACCCTAGGGCGCCCTAGCTAATGGCCTCGGTTGTAGTTTTAGGCTTGGGAAAACAGAGGGGCACTGGACGGCCACTTACCAAAGCCGAGTTCTCTAATGCTGTCAGCTGTCTGGGTGTCTGCAAACTTCGGGATTGATGAGCCCGAAGTTGCTGTAGGGTTTGAAGGTCCTGGGTACACAGACAGCGCTGGAATGAGGAACCCGGGACCTGGAAGGACCCACCATACAAGGTAAACTGGATGAGGGGCACTTTTGGATGAGGTCTATCTGCGGGAGTACCCAGGAGACTCGCGGGTAAAACCTGAGAAGGCTTTAGCGCTTCGCGGTTTGGCCGTTATGTTTGTTTTACTCTCTGGATATGGATGCGACGCTGATTCCTGGTCCACGGGGCTGTTTCTTACTTTATTTATAAAAAGAAAATTCAGGACTGGAAGCTTATTTCCTATTTCTTAGTCTCGCCGCTGAGTTGGGGTGAAGAGTGAGAGGGGCTGGCCAGGTTGAACCAGCTGCTTGGAGCGGGTAGTCCTGAGCGGAAGCCAGGTGTTCTGTTTTAGGGTTTAGGGAGGCTCTGGACACCAGGTGCCATCGCCTTATGATCAGCTCTGAGTTCTTTCCCTGTGCCCTGCGTTGCCGTGAGACCCTTGATCTACACTTGTGGACTTTGGAAGCTTATGAGAGTTTTAGCTCTTGTTCAAACGTAAAATATGCAATGTGACCAGAGCTTCGGGACTCTGGTGTTTCCTTCGTCTCCTTTCATAAGACTGACACCCTTGGTTAGTGAGGGGTTTATAGGGCCCAGGTCGTGTGTGTGAAGAGTAGGAGGTGGTGAAGCTGCTTCCCACGTGGAAAATTAGGACCAGTTGGTGGTGATGGTGTACACGGAGCACAGTCTTGATTAGACATTTAAAGGATACCCGCTGTATGCCAGGCACTGTGGGCCAGGGCGGTCATTCACTTGTCAACCCTGTTGGAAGAGAGAACAACAATGCAATCTAGTGGATGTTGTCAGTACAGTGTGGTCAGTGGGGCATCAGAAGTATGTGCAATTTTTTTTTTTTTTTGACAGGTAGAGTGAGTGAGTGAGAGAGAGAGAGAGAGAGAGAGAGAGAGAGAGAAAGGTCTTCCTTCCATTGGTTCACCCCCCAAATGGTCGCCCAGGCAGGCGCTGTGCCTATCCAAAGCTAGGAGCCAGGTGCTTCCTCTTGGTCTCCCATGTGAGTGCAGGGCCCAAGCACTTGGGCCATCCTCCACTGCCCTCCTGGGCCACAGCAGAGAGCTGGACTGGAATAGGAGCCACTGGGACTAGAACCCAGCACCCATATGGATGCCAGCACCAAAGGCGGAGGATTAACCACGTGAGCCACGGCGCTGGCCCCTGTATGTGCAAGTTCATGTGGAGCCCAGAGCTGCAGCACCGTCTCCTGCACACGGGTGGTGGCTTCTCGGAGAGGGCGACACCTGAGCCATGGGCTGCACAGCCTTCTCCTTCACAGCTTAAACCTGCAGCGGCCCCTGACTCCTGAGATAAAGACCACACCCCCTACCTTGGGATGAACGCCTTCCAAGATCTGATTCCCGTTTCCCCTGTGCCCGTGCGCAGGTATTGCCAATGCTGATTGATTGATTTTCAGTTCTTTTGACCGAAGGCTTTTCAGAATGTTCTTAAAATCTCCTGAATTAAATTTTCTTGGGGAATTTGTTTAAAATGTGGCTGGTAGATTCCATCTCCAACAATGTTAATTGGGAGGGAAAAGACATACCCTGCGTTGACCCTCAGGTGGTTTTTATAATACTGGAGTTTGAGAGTCTTAGACTTCTCAAAGTCAATTAACAGTGTCTTGGGGATGGCATGGGCACAGTGGCTGGCTGGCGGGGTCCTGTGTGGGGAAAGCAAATGACCGTTTGCCCTTTACTAAGATTTCTGCTGCACTGAGAAACAGGATACAATTAATTCTTAATAGATTATCCTATCACATTAAGTTAAAAATTAATTACCCTTTCTGCCATCATTCATGCTGTGTTTTCTTTCACTGGCTGGCTGCCCTCTGCCAGGGTGAAGGTCAGAAAAGCAAAGACTCAAATTTCCCATAGACCAGCTAGCAATACAAAACTCTGAAGATTATAAGATCTGATTGTATACGAGTTTTTGTAGGGACTTAGGAAGTGGAAACATTTAGTTTTCCAAGCATGATTTGCTGGGTTTCGAATAAGTCAAGATTTTTTTTTTCTTTCTTGCTGTGTAGGATCTTTTTAAGAAAATGAGATGGTTTGATTGCCTTTATTTACATGAAAAATTTGATGCAATGTCTGCTAGTGAATTTGATCTAAGAGGTATATGGTATATGATGTGTTTTAGGGGGAGGTGTTATGTTTGCAGTTTATGTTGTTGTCTTATAGTCCATGGATCAATGATAAGTGAATGAAGTTTGTAATGGAAGGTAAAATATTGGGGAGAGAGGGAACACTGGTCAACTAATGGAGTAATAGGGTATATTTATTTCTAGATCCTGTTTGCTTATATTTCATTTTTATAATCGGAAGACTAGTTCATATACTCAGTTTCGAGGAAAGGAAATGATTTAAATAAAAAATTTTTGGTTTCTTAATATCCAGAGCCAACCTGTAAACCAGTACCATCACTCACATAACAAGAGCCAGTTATTCCAACATTTGATTTTCATGGATGTAACAATAACAAAATGAAACGTGTCTGATGCTATTAAGAACTATTTCTTTCAGTCTAGGTATGTTAACCATATAATTAGGTTAAGTAAGTGAAAATACCCTTGTTCTTCTTTACTCCCTCTCTCTGTAATAAGACATTAAGAATAACCAGGGAATTGCAACTGATTGGGAACCTTTTTCAAAGCAGAAGTGCAAGGTAATTTGTTATTCTCTGTGCCACACCTGAGCGTTGGCAGGAAATTCTTCACTGGAAGCCCTGGGTCTAGAGAAGCGAGAATATATTGTGCAAGACAGGCCCTGGGCTGGGGAGATCATAGTCACAGTAGATGGGGGGTTGAGGATAAGGGCCCCGGGTGATAAGCAGGAGGAGGAGCCCTGTCCAGGGCAGGGAGGGCAGAAAGGAAGCCTGTGCCACACTTGTGCACAGGGATCAGGACACGAGCCTGAAGAAGGCAAATGGCCAGTATATCAGATAGACACTGCAGATCCCCAGTGACAAAGCGGATGGCACC